TTAATTTAATTTATTTTTTAATTTAATTTATTTTATTTTACTTTAACACACAAAGAGAGAAATATAATATTTATTTCTTATAGTTCGCACACAAAAATAGAATATAAACTATTTACTTCCTACAAATCAAATCACTCATTAGGAATTAAATCAATTAATAATTTAATTGATCAGTAGAATTCGTAACTTATCCATATGATTAAGGAAATCAAATTTAATCATTTCCTTAACTATAGTAGACAAACATAGAAGTTAATAATAAAGAAATATATTATTTATAGTAATTAATTTATGTTAAGAAAAAAATTATCAGTGATTACATCTTTCTTAAAAGACTAGGTTTTTGGCTAATGCAATCATCGACATGTTATTAATATTTATTTTTTAGTTTGATCTTGTGAATAATTAGCTTCATTCAATTGCTTCCCTAACCATATAATATGTTATATACATGATGTTGTACACATCTAGATAACATAACAATGGATTACTTCAATACCAAGTGAAAGTGTTGTCACTTATATAAAAAATAAAGCTAGTTGTACTTTTTTAATCTTCTAGAGCTTTAATCCAATCTTTATCAAAATAACCAATATGTCAGAAATTATTAGAAAATAAATATAGTAGACCATAAATTATAGTGTCTTTGATGTATTGTAAAATTCTTCTAGTAGACTTCATGTGTGTCAACTTTAGTTCTTCTATAAATTAACTTACTAATCCAGTTCCATATAGAATATTCGATCTTATGCAAGTTAGGTATCTCAAGCTTCGTACTAAGCTTTTGAAATAGGTTAGATCACTTGTATCACTATCATCATGTCTTGAATGTTTGATACCATATTCAACCGGTGTGCCAATCAATTTATAATCTTCCATCTTGAATTTTTTAAGAACCTCTTTTGCATATTCTTCTTATGAAATAAAGATATATTCTTTACTTTATTTAACTTCAATACTAAGGAAATAAGATATAAGCCCAATGCTGATCATTTCAAATTCTTGGTTTATTATTTATTTGAGTTCTTCAAATGTAAGTGAGTTGCTTCTTATAAAGATAAGATCATCTACATATAAGCAAAAAAATAAGATATCTCTAGTTTTGTTTATCTTCTTACAAAAGATACTTTCATAAGAATATTGTTCATAACCATCTTAACTTAAAGTAGGCATCAATTTTAGCATTACAGGTTCTAGGTGCTTACTTTAACCTATACAAAGTTTTTTTTTTTTTAACTTAAGAACTTTCTTTTCATACCTCTTTTTAATATAACTCAATAATTATTTTCTATATACTTTTTCTTCAAGAAAATCATTCAAAAATATAGATTTAACATTCATTTGATAAATTGATTAATTATTTTGTGCCACAAGGAATATAATCAATCTAATGGTCTCCATTTGGATAATAAGGAAAAATAATTCATCATAGTCAATGTCAAATTTTTGCATGTAACCCTTTGCCACTAATCTATCTTTATACTTTTCAACTTGATCTTGTGTATTTTTCTTGATTTTGTAAACCTATTTCACACCAATAAAATTTTGTCCTTGAGGCAATGATGCTAGCTCCCAAGTTTTGTTTCTCATGATAGCATTGATCTCTTCATCCATAGTATCCTTTCACCTTTTGTCTTTCATGACATCTTTTTATTGAAGCAGTTTATTATCTATAAGAAAATAAACAAGATGTAATTCATCTGTGTCCGTATATAAATCTCTTAGACATCTTATTCTTTGAAGTACTAGATTTTTGCTCATCTTCATGCAACTCTTCAATGTTTTTCTCTTAATTCCATACACATTTTTCATTGAACTCCACATCTCTACTTATAACAATTTTTTAATTGTTTGGATCAAATAATTTGTAGGCCTTGGATTTAACATCATGCCTAATGAAGATGAGTACGGAGCTCTTATCCTCCAACTTAGTTCTTTTATTAGGTACATGTGCATAACCAATCCACAAAATATCTTAATATATAAAATTTTTAATTTTCTTTTGGTCCATATCTCTTATGGAGTTTTATTTTCTAAGCTCAATGTAAGGCATTGATTTATGATATAGACGACATAAGCTTTTATTTTGGCCCAAAATTTTTTAGACATATTTTTTGTCTTAATCATGCTTCTCACTATATTAAGAATTATCTAGTTTTTTCTCTTTGTCATACTATTTTGTTGTAAAGAATATGATGTTATGAGCGAATATCTAATGTTATGCTTATCACAAAAATCTTCAAATGCTTTGGTTATGAATTTACCACCTCAATCAAAGTAGATGGTTTTGATGTAGAAGTTACCTTCATTCTCCATAAAAATTTTAAACTTCTTGAACATGCATAAAACCTTCCCCTTTTTCTTTCAAAAAATAAACTTAGTTTTTTTGTATAAACATTAATAAAAGTTCAAATATAATACTGCTTACCAATTGGAGCAATAGTCATAAACATCAACATAAATAAGTTGAAGTGACTTCTTTACTCTAAAATGTCTCATGTGCAAAATTTTATTTTGGTGTAATACACCTTTTATATATTTGACTTGGGTGTTGTATATAGAGAAGATCATTTATCATCTTCTTTATTGATAGCATGTTGAGATCTTTGAAGTTCTAAGTGTCTAAGCCTCAAGTATCATATTCACGAGGAGTCCTTCACACCAGTCTTTAAACACTATGTCACATCATAATTTATGATTAAGATAAATAGTCTATTTTTGACATATCTACTTGAGCAATTAAACGATTTGTGTTGATTTTAATAAATAGTTATTTGTCTTTCATATTAATATCAAACTAAGAATATTATTCTTCATATCTTACATATAATAAATATTTTTAAAAAATTAATAACTTTCATATTTGAGGTGGATCAATATGTTACCTTTGTCTTTCATCAGTACTTTTGAGAAATTACTAAAGTAGACTTATCCATTCATAATTTCATCCTAACTCCATGAACAGAGATTTTATAACCATGCATATGATTGCTAGCACTAGTATCCAAATACCATTTGTATTGCATGACGATATATATTTTTTATGTACTAGAAATAAAAAAGAATCTTCCTCCTTTTCAACATAGTATTTTCTTCAACTTGATTGCATTGGTTATAATGACCATATTTTTTGCAAGAATGGTATTGAACTTTGGAACAATTATACCTTTGGCCTCTTATATTTTCTCTATCTTGTTCTTGTTTTGGACTTTGACTTTTTTATTATTTCTTCCTTTCCCTTCTATGGTATGTCCTATACCATGAACACAACCTCTTCCACGTTCTCAACCTGTTTGATGATCACAATCACTTGACCCTTTATTTTTTTCTTTCAAAGTTAGTTTTATTTGGAGAATTAATTCCATTACATCTTGTTTCTTTTTATTGGCTATATGTTTATGTGCTTGTAAAGAACCTATTAGTTCATCAATAGTTATTTGGTCTAAATTCTTTAGTTCTTGAATAGAGATTATAATAAAGTTAATTTTTTTATATAGTGATCGAAGTACTTTTTCGACCACACATATATTTTTTAGATTCTTACAATTTCTTTTTAATTGATGGACAATGGTAAGAACTCTTGTAAAATAATTCAAAATTGTCTCAAATTCATTCATTTGTAATATTTCAAATTTAGCTCAATTGATTGAAATAAAATTTTTTTACCCTCTCAACTATTTCAAAAAAAAAGTTTTAAAGAATCTCTCAAATATTTTAAGGTGTTGTGGCTGTAACTTTTTTAAAGTTGCCTTGGTGTAACCCTTGGTAGGTGAGAAAGAGCGTTATCTTCTTATCTTTCTTTCTCATGTCTTTCAATGAATCTTTAACTCACTGTAAGAATGATACTATTTCGAGGTTCCTCATAGTCTCTCTCTATCACCTCTCAAATATTTTGTGATCCAAACAAGACCTTCATCTAGATGCTCTAATCTTCATAGGTGTCTTTTGTAAGGCAAAGCATTTGAAGTTGCATGTTATTAGTCATTTTGACTTGTTTTTGACACTACCTTAATAGGAAAAAAAAAAGATAAGATAAAGAGAGTTAGAGAGGAAGAATCGAGGGATGAAACAAGAGGTAAAACTAACATTTTTATTTCTTGTAGATAAGTCTCTATACTTTTATTTTCTCACTTTTTTTCATGACAAAACTCATCCATTTATAGACCAGTAATAAGAGTTACAAACTCAATTGTTAAGGCTATATTCATATGGCTTCAATATATGTAATCTATTTAATTTACAAGTGATTATTATTTTTATAATCTTCTCTTTCATGGCAATCTTTATTATGATGTAGCTAGCCTCTTCATTCTCACTAAATTTTAGAGGTCATAATTATTTTTTCCTATGTGATCATAAGAGAGGTTTCAATTCTCTCTTTTAAAAGTTTAATTCTGATGCCTATTCGGAGGAATGACCTTGATATATGAAAAGTGATCAAAGCAAATGTAGTCAATCAGATGCACCAATTGAGGTGGCGATGAGAGCTACCAAGATGAAAGATGCTTAGGAGTAGAAGAAGAATAACGAGGAGGAAACAAAATAACAAGAAAATGAGATTGTGTTGAAGCAAGATTTTTTAGGTTTAAACTTCATCAAAATTGAAGATTCATAAATTTGGAGCCTATGTTGATTTACATTTTGTTGGTTCCCGACTTACAGTTGAGCTCAACCAAGTTATCAACTAAACAGTTTGAAAAGTAAGGTATGAGTTCATCCAACTATACATTATATGAATACACACTATTTTGTTAGATATATGCTTCTCAATTTGATTATAAATGAACCAACTATAACTTTGAAAGATGTCAATTGGTAACCTATAGATGCATAATTATTTTTATTAATAATTACAATGTTATGTTAATTCATGATAATCAACTTCTCAAGTTTTTTTTAAATATTATTTTATCGATATATATTTATATATGAGATCCGAAGTAGGTGAATCTGAACACAATCCTGGGATTAGGA